TTGCTTGCAAAATGCTTGAAAAGATAATAGTATAGTATATGATATAATATAAAATATGCTAATCATTTTTATCATTACCATTTTTTTTCTAAAATTTTTTATTTTAAAATTAAACTATTGTAATTAGAATATTAAGTATACTAAAAATTAAATTATTTTGCCAAATTTAAATGTTTTATAATAGGTATTTCATAACATTTTAGCTAATTTTGAATATAATAGCCTTTTAATATGATTTAATGGTATAGTTTCATAAATTTTCTTTATCATCTATTGATTATATAATGTATAAACCTTTTTAAATTAATTTTATTAGTATTTATATAAAATAAATATAAAATTAAATAAAATATAATTAAAAATTATCTATACCTTAAATTTAAAACTCTTATTAATTATAATATCTAATGATTATAATTTAATGTTAAATTACTAGAAATTACTACTATATTTATATTTTTATAGTAAATTAATTTTTAACTGAATTAACTATATGTATACAAAATAAATCAAAATTAAAAAGAAATGTGAATTATTTAATAAAGATCATTTAGTCTAAATATTTTCAATCTACTATAATATTTTATTTTTATTAACTTAATTTTTTTTATTTACACAAATAAATATATCTTCAGAAAAATTTTTTGAGATATATTTTTTAATTTGAAATAATAACTAGAAATAATTTTATATTATAACTATATATCCAAGAATTACAATAAATTTTTTTTCATTACCTATAGTTCTAATGCTAATTATATAAATACTGTATTTTTCAATTGTTATTAAAATAGATATATCAAAAGTAAGAGAAGTTTTTTTACAAGAGATATTGCTTTTGTAGTATTAATGATCACATAATAGAATTTTATAATTGCTGTTATTTTATAATCTAATCAAATAAGATATCTTCTAATTGTGAATATTTAAGTAATTTTTTTTATATAATTTAAGTATTTTTGAAGATATATTAATTAAATCTTTTTTTATTTATTTAATCTTTTAAATATTTTGATTAGATATTAAACTTTTTACATTTTTATATAACTAAATTTATATAATGAATAAATAATTAATTTATTATTATGCTGAAAATACTAATTCAATAACATTTTAAAATTTTGTAGATTTTATATCATATGATTAGTAATTAACTAATAAAAATGAAAAATTAATCATTTTTTTTGTATATTATTTTAAAATTTTATTATTTTTATAAAATGTAATGTCTTAATTTTTTTTAAATAAACTAATATCTTTGTAATTCTTTTACTATACTTATTTTTAATGTACTTTTATTATTATTTTTTTATAGATGCATTTATTTCAGTTAAATCTGATAAAAGTTAAATTAACATTTATGTTCATTAAATTTGAGGACTCACAATTACTACAAGTATATATAATCATATTATATATATCTGCTTAAAAGCTGTAATTTAATAATTATAATTCATTTCATTTAGATTTGACTCAGTAATCCATTCAATTAATATCCTATGTAAACTTAGTTATCAAAATTAGATAAAGGACTTACTTCATTATAGTGATTAACAGTCACTATCTCTACAAATCTAATTTATAGAAGTTTACCTAATTAATAACTACTGAGACTATAAGATCAAATTCTTTACATAAATAGTGATATAGTACTCATAGCATCAAAATCACTCAAAAATCAAACCTAATTTCTAACCTTAATAATAATATGATTTAGCTTAGAACTGCAATCAGCAATACAGTCAATTATATCTAAAACATTCTAAATCCACTAATTACTAGTTTACTAGTTAATCACTTTCTTACTTGTATAAGAACCTCTGAGTTTAAAGACATGAGTAGTATCTATTACAGACCTATTAGTGAATTCTAAATTTCTATTGATCCCTAGCTTCATTTGTAATCATATATTCTTCAGACCTAGTATTTAGACATAATTAGTATTAATTAATAGGTCAATAGATCAATTACTAATATATACTGTATTAGTCTATATGTTCACATATTCAGTTACTATAAAATTCTTAATTCGTGGCTAATATTTATTTATTTATTTTTCTTGATTTTTTTTTTTCTTTAAAGATATTATTTTCTTATTTTCAGTTTATTTTATTTTATTTTATTTTATTTTTTTAGGATTTTTGATTACATTCAGGCTGCTATTTAATGTAAGTTTTACTTTTCTTTCTTTTTTGAATTTTTTTTTTTACTTTCTATTTTTAAAGTTATAACATAAGCTTTTTTTTATATCATTTTATAATTTTTTCATTGTTGAATCAATTGAATTTAAGTTTCATTTTAATTTTATTTTTTTGTTATTTTTTTTTTTTTTTAATTTTTTCTATTTCTCTTTACTTTATTTAATTTCGATTTTATTTTCATTCAGATTTTTCAGCAAATAAGTTAGGTGATTTTTTTTTTCACTTTTTTCTTTTTCATCTTTTTTTTCAGGTTATTTATTTTTTTAAACTTCAGACTGAAGTGATCAAAGCAAATACATAATTTGTATAAAATTCAGATTCTATCTAAAATTCAATTTGGCCTCCTTGTATCTGAAATTAGAATTTAACTGAAATTAAATAGCCACACAGAAATTGACCAATATGCTCAATACTAAAATTGGAATTCAGATAACATTATTTTAATTTCGAATCTCAATTTCGTCACAACAAATAAATGGTATTGGAATATTTACATAAATATAAGTCGCAATACCTTTTGATTTATTATTATGTCTTTATATCGAACGAACGAAAATTAATTCGATTTCATAAACAAAAACTTTTACCCACATAATTTCTAGTTAATTATTTAAATGATTGTTAAATAGTTTACCGCTGGAAATGACTGCGCCTCACGAAATTCTTACCGACATAAAAAATCACGTTACGGATCATATGACTTACTTTGTCACGACTAAATTTTAATAACGACCCATAGATAGATGACTCGTTTCTATTGTAAAGTCAAAGTATATATTTTATTATTGCCATTATTTAATTTATAATTGCATTTTAAATATCAATAAAAAGTTTATACGATTGTCAATTAGTCATTTAAAAGATCAAATTGATGATACCAATGAATTGGTCAATATTTAGAAAGTGGTTAATGGGTTTCTTCTCCACAATTTTCGTTTTAGTAATCTCCAACGTTAATCATTCTTATGAAAATCGTACGATTATTGTAGTTATTCCAATTTTCCTGCAAAAATTTCCATACAAAATACTTTTTTTTTGAATTTATGGAAAACATAATCTTACTAAAAGTCGATAATGCAAATGAAATAAAATTTAATATCAAATTTTCTGACTTTCTAATAAAGCTCGCAAAGCAGACAAAAATGCTAGTAAATAAATGTGTTGAACCTTATTGGCTGGTTAATTTCCTACATTATATGAAAATTATATTGAATTTATAAGAAAAAATATGAATGAATATACAAGCTATAACTACATTATACAGAAATAGTAGTATCCATTTTTGAAACTTAAATTGTGCAAAAATTTATGGATATAAAACATTATTTATTGGGACACCTTCACGCTATCAGAAAACAAAATAATTTTAAAGGTATTTAGAGGTTGGAACCGCCAAAAAACCTTAACTGATTAATAACCGGTTAAAGAAAATCTTTAACCGACTCAAACCTTTAATAATAATTTGAAATAAGATTGTTATATTTATGTATGTATATTGAGCGATAATATTCAAGGTCATTAACAATTCCTCTGAGATTCTTCTCAGATAAATTATAGAAGAGTTATAGTTATTATCAAAATATAGTTTTTTAGCATATAATTGATAAATTGAGGAGGCATTAAATATTGCTTTTTATTGTATAAATCTTCTATGAATATATTAATATGTTCGTTAAAAATTTTCTTTCCAGAAATTCGTCTAAAAATAAAATTTGTTAAGTTTATTAATCTTATAACACAAAAAGGTAAACTTATTATTAATGTGTGAGCGTATTCAAATTTTTTTTTTTAAAAAAAAACAAAAGCTTATATCACAAATATAGAGTTACATTTTAATTCGAGACTGCTCTACGTACTTGTTTATACCTAATCATTACGCGGCTCTTTTTCTAACAATGTATCGAATTGATCGTAATTTTTCAATATTTATAAAAAATTTTTTATTTTTTCTTGAAAAAAGTATATCCTTTCATTTATAAACGAAAAACTATTTTGTTATAAACAATTATTGTATTTAAAAACATAAAAAGTTCCATATAAACCCTTTTTTTTACCTGTAGAGCACACGCAAAAACTTTTAAATTGTATAATATATAGAATCAATTTTACCGAAGGAATCTAAAAAAAAAGTCAATTACTCAACAAACATTAGCCCAGGAATAACTTACTAGAAATTCAACATTATAAGGATTAAATTGAGTTACTAGCTTTGTAATTGACCATCACTGAGAAATTTAAACCACAATAATTGAATTTCCATTTCTCATTATGTCTGTATGGGCGTTAGAAACAGAAAAGTTTAATTTATATGCCAGTCCAGTTATTCTCTTCATGCTTTGATATTAATATATTTGAGCCTAAATAAACCATCTTTATATAAAAAGACCGATCCTGTCGATCGTCCAAAAAAAGATGGTTAAGACCGGTCCTATGGTTTTTCGGTCTAGATCGGATCGTTTCATAACAAAGTCCAACTAAAATACAAAAACGATTATCTAAACATCTTGCAATCGTTTTAACGGTCTTTGTTAAAAAAATTATGAAATTTTTGAGAGCAATGTATTTATATGAATTTTGGAATGGCGCAGCTGTTGGAATGATTTCTCATATATGGTTAGAACTGATTGATTTAGTGAAACAAAAAAAAATTATATAATGAAAATCATATAAAAAAAACTTTTTAATTTCTCTTCAAATGAAATGGCATATTTTACGGTAAAATAAAAGAAATAACCGATTTGATTATACACTATTTACGACATTGTAAAATCACTTCATTCGTGCATTTTAGCAAATTTTATGTCGGGTTGCAATTCCCATACTTTGGGTGATCTTTTTTCCGTTATAAGTTCAAGAGGTTATTCTTATAACCTTCTTAATACTTATTTGCTATTCTTAAGTCAAGATGATAAAGAAAAATTAAAGGAACTTGGAATTATATTTCATTCACCCACATTTAAAAAACGTTTATTTAATTATCCAGATTTATTAAAGTATTGAATCTAACATGAGTCGAAGTACATAAATTAAGTTGGGTAAATAAACGTTTTATTCCTAGACCTTTTCGAGGAATCAAATCAAAGAAAATAACTTTTCTTGAAAAATATGAGGAGGTACATATAAAAAAACCCTCTGTATGCTGAAAAAGTGATAGAATTTCTTTGTATTTCATTAGTTAAGATCTTCATAGATCAGAAAGTTTCCTTAAATGAGTTAACTATGGGAACAAATTATAGTTTCAGTCATTTATTACCTATGTCCAAAATAATTTTGGATCATCCAGAGTTGATATCTGACCTTAAAAAGCCTACGTTAAATTCATCTTTTGATGATTATTCCAATCCTATTTAACTTCCTTACCATTATCATCTACAATCAAACACCTTAAAATTAATATTAGTTCATCTAGACAAAGTTTAACAAATTTGATTCATTCACAATCCCAACTTTTATCTCTTAAGGTTTACAAAACACCAATTGCTATTGAAAATTTGCCCAATTCGTTAATTTCAATCAAGTTTGAAACTTGTAATTTTGCAGCTATCATGCCATTTGATGGTTTTAAATCCCTTAAACAACTTAGATCACTTCAATTTATTAATTGTATAGGATTAACAATTCAAAATTTTCAGCCACTTCTTAATAATCCTTCTCCATTAAAATTAAGATCTTTTAAAGGTGTTGGGTTGATCCCAGGAATTGCCGTATTAATTCAATTGGTCGGTCCTTATCTGCTATTACGAACATAGTAAAGATATGATCTGTAACGTGATTTAATAGCTTACCTCACATATAAATTATGTCACTGTTGAAAATATCAAAATAAATCAACTGAAATCCATCCGAGAGATTTTAATAAATCCCGGGAATCAACAACAACTATAAAAATTCTATAGGAAAGGAAAGAGCTTAAAATGCTTACCCAAGTGTTGTCATGGGACAGACCTCGTTCATGTTCAAAAAATCAATGTCCGGGATATTTAAACAATAGAAACTAATCTGATAATTTAATATGAAGAACAGGGCAACTTCCGTTCTGTAATTAAATTTTACATCTTCTGATACATCAGGATCACAAAAGCAGAATTTTTAACTTTTGCAGATTTCAAGTTCATAAATATCTTAGGTAAATGACAAATTAGAAATCCCTCGCGTGTAAATTCTTTGGAGATATTATCACAAATTTTAGAAGAAATGAAAAAATAAGTTGAAATATAAAAAGTTCTCGTTAATATTCAAGACAAGATATTCTGAATCACAGTAATTATGGAATGTTATTTGTACTACCCTTGTTGCTACTGCATTGATTAACTATAAGAACAACAAAAAATTAGAGATAAGGTTCATTCAAGTAGAAATGATTTTACTTGTTATAATACCGATGACATAAACCTAATCAACTTAAGATGGCAAATCAGCTAACTTGATGCAAAGAAAACGAAGGATGTATTCTGTATTATTTTGTAAGAATAAATATGCATTCCCAATCACGTAAAATGAAAACGGGGGTAATTAGAAATAATGTATTTATAATCAACAATTCATTTTGTCATAATTTATATATATATTTTAGTAGTAGCAAGTAAAAGAGTCACACCAGGAGCAGCTACAGTTCTTCTTGAATATTTGTAATCATGTCCCGTATAATTGTTTTAACGAAAAAAAAAAAATATTGGAATTTACAGCCGCGAATATCCTCTTCGTTGATTCTCTCAAGTTCTCGAAATTTTGGCCTTTCAAATCTCGGTTGTTGTTCATGGCGATATTGATTTTATTGCTTCTAAATTAAGCCTTACTTATAGTAATTTCTTTTTGAAAAAAACTTGAAAAAGTCTTGTTAGAAGCACAAGAAGTACTTTTTTTTTTTTTTTTATCAATGATTAAAGTGAGAAAGAAGGAGATAATATAAAAAAGGAGAATAGGAAAAAATAATTGTAAATCTAAAGCTTATTATTATTTATTGTTGTATGGCAGAACCGTTATTTCATGGAGGCTTTTTGATATTTTTTTTATATAATACTGTGTAAATATATATAAGGTAAAAATTTTTTTTGAAGGCTTTACCATTAAAGTATAAATTTTCGGTGAATAGTTGCATAACGTAGCAAATTCTTTGACTATTTTTTTTGCAAAATTGATTATATTTCGTATCTGTAAAAAAAAAACAATCACTAATTTAAAGACATTACATAGGATATGTATAATTTTTGAATTGTTATCGTTTTTATTCATCAAAAAAAGGATATAAAAAATAAATATTTTCTATTTGGATTCGAATTCTAAGTCATTAATTAGGATGCTATTAAATCAAAATATTTTCAATAATATGACGTGTTTATTTCAAATCACGGTTTTAGATATTTTATTTAAAAAGAAAAATTTTACTGCAAGCAAATGTCTTGAATAACTCGGCAAGTTTTATGAAGTTTGGATGACTCATTATTTCTTATTTTTAGGACAATTATATCATTCTAAGTTTGTATTAGATAGTTAAATATGGATATGATACAATTTTACATTTATATGTGATACTAAATATCTAAATCACAATATTTAATAATTATCAATAAGGAGAATCTCGCGTCTTTTACAAAAGATAAAGAATATAAACTTTACAAAATTTTAATATTAATTCAAAATGTGTTTAATTATGATTTTGTATTAGATTTCTGCAAATTCAATTATAACGATCGGTTTCAATTTCCATAAAATGACGAATTCTTTAATTCAAGTCAGAATTAAAAAATTTTGGCCAAAGTCGAAATCGGATAAATCGAATTTTAAGTGATAATAATCTTCCAGAAAATTAAACTAAAAAAGCTTAATAGTTTCCTCAATTCAGAACTTCAGTTGCAGCAATAGATCCAAAAGGAGTTGATAATTTTGGAATCGAATCAAAGTTACGATTTTCGATTATAATTTTCGAATTATTATATTCGATAACCCGTCATCATTTATTTCTTATAATATAAATAGGGGTTTATTAGTTTTAAGGAGCATGTTTTGCTAATAAAGTTCAATATGTTGAACTTTTAAAATTTTACTCCAAAAGATCACTCGACTGTATTGTATTTTAACTAGTTTTTAAATAAAAGGTGATAATTTGAATCGGAAAAAATTTTTTGATATTTTTTTTGGTTGCTTTCAAATTTTGTTATCACCATTCGTTATTTTTATTATTATCAACTAGATTAGGCGACTTTGTCGCCGCTAGTTATGGTTATTATACTGCTTTAATTGTAATACAGTCAACCCTCTCTAAATGCACCCCCTCGGGACCATAGTGAAAATTTTAAAAAATGTGCATTTAAAGAGGGTGTGCATTTAAAGAGAAAATTTTTATATGAATTCTATATGCTTGGGACTGAATAAGAGCGTGCATTTAGAGAGAAAATATATAGTGTGTGCATTTAGAGAGGGTTGACTGTATATCCTTTATTAAGTTATTGCCGTGACGAGCCGAAAGGTCCATCCGAAGTGCCGCGTCCTAAAGGGCGGAATCGGCCCTAACCTATAAAATCAAAAAGAATATTAATTAACAATAAAATAACATACCTGACTGCGCCTTTGCAATAAACCTAAGTGGTAAATCTACTTATCTAACCTATAAAATCAATAATTATTAATTAATTTATTTATTATTAATTAAATCTATAATCAACAATCAATAGGAATAGAGAATACATAATAGTAGAAAAAAAAATTTCATTATGCACCTGACTGTGCCGTCGCGGCAGATCTAAATCTTTTTTTTGTTTGTTTGAAAAAAAATTATTTAAACAACCTTTATTCCTTGAGGTAGATTCCTCTCCTACCTACCTTTACCTTATCCTCTATCTCTTAGTTGGTGTCAGTGTTATTGTCAGTGATAGTAGTGTACTTTCGTTAAACTCTTATATAATAAAATATTTCGTTCTTTCCATTTATTGAATTAACTTACATAAATACATAAAATGAAGGAAATAGGTGAAGAAGTTTCAAATTTCCTTATGAATCGTACTATTACATGGAAATCACAAACAAGAAGTTTTCAATATTATATCATAGAAGAAGGTTTTTATCCACCTTATCTTGCATATACTAGAATGCCGAATCATTATCCAATTCCTGACAATTATATTGTAGAAACAACTTATGGAAAGAATATGAAAACTGTTACTTGTTCTATAAATTATTATAATGAAAAGCCTCTATACGAGATTAAATTTGGCCATGAATGTGTATATTCAGACCTTTCGCCAACTGCCGTAGCAGTTTATTTGTTCAAAAAATGTGACCTAAAAATTGTAAAATTTTAGTATATCAAAAGGATTATAATGAGCCAATATTTTTTTAGTTTTACTCTAGTAGAAGCATAGGAAAATGTAAGATTTTATAAAAAATATCGTAGAATACAGCTATTTGGTTTATAATATCTAATGATAAAATACTATTAATAAACAATGAATTCCTATATGTTTACCTATGTTTTGGGATAATAAAACACTTCTAAATAATATTTTTAATTATAATTTGAGAAAATGAATAATTTGTAATATTAACTGGCAACAATTTTTCAACTTTAACTTATATAAAAAGCATAATTATTGAATTATACAGAATGCTAAAAAATATATTCACAAAATTATTTGCATGATGATCGTGTATTTTGAGTGTAGTGTATAATAAGCTCTGAATGGTTTAGATTAATTTGAAAATTTTCAGTTCAGATCAACTTCGGTTCGTTTTCGAATTGCAAAAAATTCAATCTGAAAATTTTCAGTTCAGTTTAGATTTTTTTCCGATTATAAATCTAATCTGAACCAAAAAAAATCTGAACTGAACCGAAAATTTCAGATTAATCTGAAATTTTGAATCGTTTGGAACAATTATATTTATTATTCTTTTAAAACGATTGAAGTTATTATTCCAAATGAACAATAAGAAAATCGTTTGATTGGAATGATTAAATTATCATTCCAAACAAATGATAAGAGAATCGTTCGATTAGAACAATTAAATTATCATTTCAAACAAACGATAAAAAAATCATTCGATTAAAATGATGAAACTATCATTAGAGTTCTGAAAATGACTCGCATAAACTTGCATATTTGACTCGCATGATTGTGCATAATTGTAAATTTTAGTTACATATAATAAATAAGTACTTTAAATTAAAGGTATGTAGGAT